AATAAAATTTTTTTCTGCCGCAGTTCTAATCTTAATTATAACTAAAATATTTCATTCTTATGGATACTCGAATTCAATACCTTATATCGTAATAATGATCCTAATGTTACTCTTATTTAAAAAGTAACAAAACAGAAATGAAAATCTCGATTATAAAAATTGAATATCTTGAAGAAATTAATGTTAAGAAATCAGAAAACTTAATATATAAAGAGAAAAAAGAAAAAAGAAAATAAATAATAATAATAATCAATTTTTTTTTTGAATAACAGAAAATAGAATTTCTCTTTACAATCAATAAAGATACAATCTTCTTTTAGTAAATTGCAGAGTGATTCTTAATATATATCAATTGAAGTCAGGAATCCAATATATAAAAAATTTATACCAATTAGATTGTAGATATTTTCAATTTGTCAATTTTTAATTTTAATAATAATACAATACTTCTGTAAATCAGGAGAGAATTCTAAATTAATTAGTTTTGTTGCAATTTATCTCTTTCATTATCAACTTATGATGGATTTATAATCAAGAAATTATCTTCAGATTTCTACTTAGAACTTAGAACGATGTCACAGTTTAGAACTTATACAAAAATTAATCTTCCTTCTCCATTTTTAATTAGCTTTAAAGTCTCATGGCTTGGCTATTTCTAGGTTTCCTGCTGGTATAGCTCACTTAATCTACCCTATGATGTAAGAGAAAAGAGTCCATTATTAATAGAGTTGCTGATATATAATATAGAATACTGAAAAAAATTCTTTTACTTTCCTCTATAACTTAATTTAATAATTTAAACATAGTAATACAAAAATATGTTATAAATTTATTATATTATATATATAATCAGATGTGCTAAGATATTTATTAATTTTCTTTCTAAAATATAAATACAACTTAAAATTATACTATTTTGATTAAAAATTACAAATAAATCTCGATAGATTAAAAATTCATTTAAATATAGAAGGGCAAATTATATACTTATTTATAATATTTATCTACATAAAATGTCAACTACTTAACAAGTTTGAATTTTTAAAGTATTTGGAATATTAAATATTTTAACACTATCCTTTATGGATATTTATTATTTACTTTTATTCTTCTTTTTCTTCAATTTTCTCAATAGATTCGCTTTTGAATTATTAATATTAATTTTTTGGTAATTTCTTAGGGAATTAATTTAATTGTAAAATATAACTAGTTGAGGAGTTCATTAAAAGAATACAGTTTTTAAAACATAAGAAGTTTTAAGGGAATTTTTGTAGAGATATTAATTAATTTCGTAAAATCATCTTGAAGTTAACAGTGATTATAAAGATCTGACTCTGTAAAAATTTGTGTACCTTATGTAATTGGTTTTAAAATGTTTATTATCTAAAGTTGCATAAAAGATTGTTGAAAGTTGTAATTTTGGATTTAGCATTAAGTCGAGAATCATTATGAATAAAGATAAGTAGATTGTTATTTCTTCTAATTATAATCTAGGGTAGATACAGTCATATTCTTAAATCTTGATCTTTTATGGATATAATACATATTGCTGATGAATTATCTTTACAATACATTTTATATAAATAATAAATGGTATCATTAAATCTAATAGTTTTAACTTTTGTTTAGTGTAAATTGATAAATAATCCAGGATCAACTTTACTTTTGATATTTTTATTATTAACTCTGTTATTAAGTGTATCTTTTCCTATTTATGAACTAAAAAAACAAATAATTGTTATAAATATTAAATTTACCTTTTAATATTAATCCCTTTACAATTAATAATAAATTAAGCAAATCTATTATACCTAGATGATTTAATAAGCATGTCATTTTGTTAAATTACTTTTCTTTTAGTACTTTCACAACGTATTATAGTCTCCTCGTTGTGCTCTCTATTCTCTGTTTAGATTATTAATTTAATATAATATCATTTAGGTTTAAGTCTCAATAAATTAAATATCCCCTTAACTAACTTATCATAAATTGTTATAATATTAAAGTAAATTCAAATGGAATGAAAACTTTGGAAAATATTGACTTTCCTATTTTAAGAAGTTAAGGTGAAGAACCTTACTGACAAAGACATAGTTTAAAAAAATAAGAGATTTATAGTTATTATAATTGTTGTTAATAATTATCAAATTCACTTTTCCTTAAATTCTTCTAAAAAGCAACTTCCTTTGCTTATGAATAATGATTATAAATCGAATCCCTCATAATTCATAAAATCTCCTTTCAAAATTAAAGCACCTTATGCTTAAAATAATGGTTTTTGAGATATTCGCAGAGTTGTAATATTATTAGATGCTAAATAATAAAATAACATAAATACATGGTAGAGGTTAATTTTTAAATATTGGTCCTTTAAATTAAGCAAGAATATCTTTATAAATTTTTTCAGCTGGTAAAATTTCTTTTCCTTTTTAAATATCCCATAATCGAATTAACTTATTATCACTTCGAGATGCTAATATATTTCCATCTGGTGAGAAACAGACTGAGTTGACACCATGTGAATGACCATTCAATTTGGTTATTAATTAACCTGTTCTGACATCCCAAAGACGGATAGAATCATCTAAATTACCAGATGCTAATGTATTTCCATCAGGAGAGAAACAGACTGACCAGACAGAATTAGTATGACCATCTAATATGGTTTTTTATTATCCTGTATTGACATCCCAAAGACGGATAGACATATCATCACTACCAGAAGCTAATGTATTTCCATCAGATGAGAAACAGACTGACCAGATAGTCCCACTATGACCATCCAATGTGGCTTTTTATTATCCTGTTTTTACATCCCATAGATAGATAGAGTTATCATAATTAGCAGATGCCAATATATTTCCATTAGGAGAGAAACACACTGTTATAACCATGTTATCATTGCAATAGAATTTGGCTCTTTTTTTATTAGCTATCAAATCCCAAAGATAGATAGAGTAATCTCTACTACAAGATGCTAATGTATTTCCATAAGGTAAGAAACAGACTGACATTACCCAATGCTAATGACCATCTAATTTGGCTTTTTATTATCCTGTTATGACATCCCAAATAAGGATAGATTTATCACTACTACCAGATGCTAATGTATTTCCATCAGGAGAGAAACAGACTGAGTTAATACAACTACTATGACCATCTAATTTGGCTTTTTATTATCCTGTTTTGACATCCCATAGACGGATTGACTTATCATCACTACCAGAAGCTAATGTATTTCCATCAGGAGAAAAACAGACTGACATAACACATTCACTATGACCATCTAATTTGGTTTTTTAATATCCTGTTTTGACATCCCAGAGACGGATAGACTTATCATTACTACCAGAAGCTAATGTATTTCCATCAGGAGAAAAACAGACTGACATAACACATTCACTATGACCATCTAATTTGGTTATTTAATATCCTGTTTTGACATCCCATAGACGGATAGACTCATCATTACTACCAGAAGCTAATGTATTTCCATCAGGAGAAAAACAGACTGAGCAGATAGCATTACTATGACCCTCTAATTTGACTTTTTACTATCCTTTTTTGACATCCCATAGATGGATACAGTAATCATAGCTAATACCAGAAGCTAATGTATTTCCATCAGGAGAGAAACAGACTGACAAAACACAACCACTATGACCATCTAATTTTCCTATTTATTACCCTTTTTTGACATCCCATAGACGGATAGACTTATCATTACTACCAGAAGCTAATATATTTCCATCAGGAGAGAAACAGATTGAGTTGACACGATTATCATGACCATCTAATTTTCCTATTTTTTACCCTGTTTTGACATCCCAAATACAGATAGACATATCATTACTACCAGAAGCTAATATATTTCCATCAGGAGAGAAACAGACTGAGTTGACACTATTATCATGACCATCTAATTTTCCTATTTTTTACCCTGTTTTGACATCCCAAATACAGATAGACATATCATTACTACCAGAAGCTAATATATTTCCATCAGGAGAGAAACAGACTGAGTTGACACTATTATCATGACCATCTAATTTTCCTATTTTTTACCCTGTTTTGACATCCCAAATACAGATAGACATATCATTACTACCAGAAGCTAATATATTTCCATCAGGAGAGAAACAGACTGAGTTGACACTATTATCATGACCATCTAATTTTCCTATTTTTTACCCTGTTTTGACATCCCAAATACAGATAGACATATCATTACTACCAGAAGCTAATATATTTCCATCAGGAGAGAAACAGACTGAGTTGACACTATTATCATGACCATCTAATTTTCCTATTTTTTACCCTGTTTTGACATCCCAAATACAGATAGACATATCATTACTACCAGAAGCTAATATATTTCCATCAGGAGAGAAACAGACTGAGTTGACACTATTATCATGACCATCTAATTTTCCTATTTTTTACCCTGTTTTGACATCCCAAATACAGATAGACATATCATTACTACCAGAAGCTAATATATTTCCATCAGGAGAGAAACAGACTGAGTTGACACTATTATCATGACCATCTAATTTTCCTATTTTTTACCCTGTTTTGACATCCCAAATACAGATAGACATATCATTACTACCAGAAGCTAATATATTTCCATCAGGAGAGAAACAGACTGAGTTGACACTATTATCATGACCATCTAATTTTCCTATTTATTACCCTTTTTTGACATCCCATAGACGGATAGACTTATCATTACTACCAGAAGCTAATGTATTTCCATCAGGAGAAAAACAGACTGAGTAGACATTACTAGTATGACTATATAATTTGGCTTTTTAATATCCTGTTTTGACATCCCATAGACGGATAGACTTATCATTACTACCAGAAGCTAATGTATTTCCATCAGGAGAAAAACAAACAAATTTTACTGCATTGGTATGACCATTTAATTAATTTAATTCATGAATTCTTAAGTTTTTCCATTTACAATTCAATAATAAAGTTTCATTCAGATTTATTCCACTTATGTTGACATTATTAAATTTAGATCCACTAAAATTACACCTAACAAAATTAGCTCCAACCAAAGAAATATTTTAGATTTTTATATTTTCAAAATTGTTGTTGCTAAGACTCACCTTCATCTAAACTAATATATGTAATGAATTAGACCCGCATTATATAAAAGTATTATCCATAGATGTAAGATTAACTAAAAATTTCAAAAATTCTATGATTTATCTATCCTATTTTATTCCTTTTATTAGATCCTTTGTAGATTCTTCATATTCTTTATTTGAATAGTCTAACTTATTGAAGCCGTGATCTTTTATTGTTTTTAAGACATTAGTAATTTGTTTGATGTTATTTCTAAAATCATACAATTTCTATCCATTATCATCCTCTATTAAATTCTGTAAAATGTATTGTTCCAAATTTTTTTGATTTCCATGATCTGAAAGAAATAACATACAGTCTTAAACTTTTTTCTTTCTAAATATTTCAAATATGAAACCAAAGATTTACTCATCTACATTTTTTAATTAATCAAAAATTTCAGCTAGAACTTCCAACTCTTAAAAAGAGCCCTGCATTTTTTTTTTTATTTTTAATATTGAATTTATATTACTCTCATTTTAATTTATATAGGGCAAAATCGATAAAAGTATCTTGTGTATTTTTTTTTAATAGAAGTTCAGACTTTATGTAGATTTAGAATTGACTATAGTAGAGGTAAAACATGCTATTGAGAATCCAATTTTATTGCTTGATTTTTTATAATATAGAATATTGTTCTATATATGAAAAATTGAATTAATACTAAATTTGAGTTAGATTATAAACCATTTATTTTTCTTGTTAATCCTTAATTTTGAGAATAAATAATTGGAATTTTTCAGCTAACTATTTAGAGATTGGTATATGTTTGAACCCTCCTCTTATAAGATTGGAAGATCTTTTGACCTGTATGGTAGATTTGGAATTGGTAATGGATTATAATGAATTGTTTATAAAGGAGATTATAAGAAAAGATTAAAAATTTGCCGCTGAAATACATTATATAAAGATAGCTAATTTCAATTTTAATAAATGTATATAGATTATTAAATATTAAATAGTAGTTTATATATTGATAAATAGGGATCAAGAAAGACTGGATGATGGATAGAGTTGAGTGATAATTTTGGGAATGACTTTGAATAACCTTAAATCACAGAAAATGGTCATGATAAGAAGAGAAAAAGTTGGTAAAGCGGAAGATATTGATTTAAGTAGAAAAAATTTAATTATGTAAATAAAATGTGCTTAGTTTCGAGAAGTATTCTTTTGTATGGAATGATGGACTAAAACTTTATTTAAATATTCACTAGAAAATAACCAAATTCTAAGCTAATGGTAAATAAGTAAATAAATTTAGCAGCTAGCATTTGAATTCATACTTATTATTGCTAACACAATAATATTTGTAATTTTTAAATAAATTATTAATAGAGAGACATAAATTAAGAATGAAGGCATATTAAAATCCAAAAAGTATATGAATATTTTTTTGATTTATTTTACACATTATTTTGTTTTCTATTTAGCGAAATACATAAACCTAAATTTTATCTTACAAAAAATTGTATAAATAACATGCACTATCAGAAGTTTGAGAAAAATTATCCAGTATTGCTAATCCAAAGATTAAGAAAAGAGTATAACAAAGTTTAGATATACAAGACTTATTATAATGAAATTATTAAAAAAATAATAACAATCTCTCCCTTAAACTCAAATAATACAACATTTAATATTAATGATACATAGCAAACAAGTGACTTAAGAAAGATATGAAAATTAATCACTCAACCCAATCTACTTCCCAATTTTCTTGCCATTATCTTTTAATAATATCAACCTCCACCTCTAAATAATTACTGTAATCACATTTTACACCTCTTTGTTATCCCAATAAATATTCCACAAATGTGTCCATTTAACAACTTTCTATCCATTTTTATATTCACCAATAAAAAAAAATAATGAATATTCAGAAAATCTATTATTCAACTTAGTCCACCAACCAATTTTAATTTCAAGGCCATCTTCATCATTAGATCCACCAACACTAAAACATTAAATATAATAATTAACAATTCTTATCCCCAAGCTACAGTATTCCATCTACCTACTTTTTATCATTTTTTACTAGCCGGTAAATGTAAATCCTTCACTCAACTCAATCCATTTTCCATTCTTGTTATTGTCCACCTCCACTATTTAATATTAATTATATTAATACATCTCTTAATCATTAAATATGTACTTCCTTAATAATTAAGTTAATTAAAAACAAACGATACTCACCACCGCAACCATTACAATTTTGATTCTTCTAATTAGCTGACCAGAATCCATTTTTTTTAATTTTTTCCTTCTTTATCTGCCCATCTAAGATGCATTATTTTTTCTATATTGGTAATTATTGCTGGTTTTAATAATAAATCATGTTGTATCAAATTACTTAACTTAAAATTCTACTTTATAAAGGATTTCGCCTTGATAAAGATATTTAATTCCTCGTTATTAAGTAAAATGAATATGAAAATTAGTTTTTAAAAAAAATCTATTCTTGTTTTATCAAGCCTTCAAATTATTGAATTTTTTCTTCCTGCATCCTTCAGAAAATTATTCATTCAATGTATTTATGAATTTTTCAATTTCAGATTTCAATTAGGACTTTAGTTTATGTAAATATTTCAAATCAAAGTCGTTTTACAAGTATCATTACTCTTATAAATCTCCCTCCAAAATTTTTACCATAATATCAAGATCTGAATATGATGATTCAGATGGTGGATATTAATAATTTATTAAATTTAGATAGACTTAAGCCTTCTTTTCAATGTATCATTAATCCCTTCAATGGATTAATTTAATTCTTAAAAAATTACTTTAAGTGAATTTATGCGTTCGCAAGTATTATTGTAAATTCTCCATGTTGTGTTACTTATTTTCGATCGTCATCAAATTAATATTTTTAAGCCTTTGAAGGTATGAATTCATCTCTCCTCCACCTCATATGAACATTCTAGACAATATATCTTTAGAAATTGTGTGGTGCTTTACATATTACTGATAATTCATTCAAAGGATGATGTGGACAGTTCATTTTTTAATTAATTTAACAATTGCTATTACTTTTATTCTCTAATTTTAAATCTTAATCTAAGCTTACTTTATATAAATGTAAAAGAAATCTTGGCTAAAAAAATTTTACATATTTATCATTTCTACGGCCTCTGCTCGATATCAAATATGATATTAATATTTATTTATATCACATATATTAAATATTTTATATAACAGAGTTATTCAAATTTTGGAATATTCCTTTAATATCTTTTTATTTTCATTTATTAAAGACTTAATTCTTTTAATATAAAGTTGTATAAATTAATATTCTGCAATTTTAATCTAATTTTAAAAATGAGGATAGCCTAACCGAAGTAATGTCAAATACTTATGAAAAGTAAAGAGATTAATCTCATTTATTGTAAAGTATTTCAAAGATTTAATATAAAATTAAACATTGTGAATAGTTTAATAATTCTAACAAGACCTCGTTTAAATAGCTTAAGAGAGGTTGTAATTTTTAATAAAATTTAAACTGTAAAAGAATTCTATTTTTTCCTTTTGTTATTCATGAAAAGGCATTAAATTTAAATTATTAATATATTTGAACTATTGTTAATTAACTAATTGATTAATTTATTAGAGATTAAAATTTGAATTTTATTCCTTTATTAATTATATCGAAGGAATAAAATTAATATTAATAATTTAATAACAATATTCTCAAAATTAAATAACACCGGCCTTAGAATTTTCAAATATTCAAGTAAATAAAAATAATACTTCCAACACCAAATTTAATTAAGGACTAAGGCTTTTCATAGGTAAAAACAGTTTCACTATAATATATTTCGTATATTTATTTAATGGACATTTCTTGTTGTTTTTCTCTAGTATATTTTGAAACTGAGTGTGTTCATCATGAGTAATTACCATATTATAGAAATAGTTTATGATGTATTAAATTCAGGTAAAAATGAAGAAGCTTGAAAATTATATGACTAATAATTGTCTTTTTTAAATATCAATTAAGAGATATTTAATTGGAAATCTAAATAAAGTAATAATACATTATAGATGAGTTATACAAATTTGTTTTATTGGAATTAGATAGAGTCTAAGGGGAAATTTACTTTAATTATAGTAATTCTATGGTTTATAATGACAAAGGTATATTTTATTGACTAATCAACAATTATTAGGCTCTTTATTTAATGAAGTGAATTTTGAAATAAATCCATTTGCTTTTGGCTATTAAAGATTAATTTTATTAAGAGTATTAAAATAAGGTTATTTAATGGAATATTATATAATTCAAGAAAATCAATCTAGAATGAAGATATGTTTTCTTAAAGATAAATAAAAAAAAAAGTGATGGCATCTCAAATAGCATAGTTAAAGTATTAAAAGAAATTGATAATTTGTATTTTATATAAGTTTATCTATCTCTTAATAATTTTCATAATTATGCTAGTTATACTTTTATGTAAAATTCATTTGCAGATCCTGCATTAAGTGCATTGTAATAAAACTTTTTAGCTTCTTTTTTTTTCCCTAAAGCAAGTAGAGCTTCAGCTAAAATAATTATTGTTTTTTTAAGAATACCTTTATTTAAGAAAAAAATAGAACTTTGTTGAAGACTTAGAGCTTTATCATAAAACTCAATTGCTCTTTGATATTGCTTCATTTAATGTAGAGTATAAGCTATTAATTAAAATGAATAATTGACCTTTATTGTTATATATACTAGCATCATTAGGACTCAGTTAAATTGATATATCAAAGCATTCTATAGCTTCATTATATAGATTTAGTTATCTTAACGCCGATCCTATTTATTAAAATTGATTCAAATAAATACCTTTGTTATAATATGCATCAACATTTCTATTATTCAATATTATGGCTTTATCATATTATTCAATAGCTTCTTTATATTGATTTAGATTTTGTAATGCCGTCCCTATTCATAATCATTTTATTAAAGCAATACCTTTGTTGTTGTAGGTATTGTCATTCTTAGGATTCAATTCTAAGGCTTTATCAAAGCATTCAATCGCTTTTTGATATTGTTTTAGATTTTGTAATATCACACCTATTTAGATCATTTATTCAAGCTAATACCTTTGTTGATATAAACATTCTCATTCTTAGGATTTAATTCTATGCCTTTATCATAGTATTCAATAGCTTCTTTATATTTATTTAGATTTTGTAATGCTGTTCCTATTCATAATAATTAAATGAAAGCAATACCTTTGTTGTTGTAGGCATTCTCATTTTTAGGATTCAATTCTATGGCTTTATCAAAGCATTCAATCGCTTTTTGATATTGACTTAGATTTTGTAATGCTGTTCCTATTCATAAAAATTTAATCAAAGCAATACCTTTGTTATTGTAGGCATTGTCATTCTTAGGATTTAACTATAGGGCTTTATCAAAGCATTCAATCGATTTTTAACATTGTTTTAGAGAGTTTAATGCCCATCCTATTAATAATCATTTAATCAATTCAATACCTTTGTTGTTGTAAGCATTGTCATTCTTAGGATTTAAATATATGGCTATATCACAACATTGAATCCCTTCTTCAATTCTTAATAAATGAAATAATGATTAACCTAAAAATATTAAAATAGATATATTACTTTTCCACCGCAATAATTCATCGATTGAAGTTTAAAGAGATAGTGTTTTGTCATAAAATTTAATAGCATCTTCATGTTTACCTTCATTTGTTAATTACATCGCCATTTCAAAAATTTTTTCAATTTCTAATTTTTTGTCATTCTTTTTTTCCTTCTATTTAAATATTTCTTAGAATTCATTTAATTAATTTATAAATTAATCTAAATCAATTAAATGATAAATTAACCTTCTTTTTTTTATTACTCTTATGAATAGTATGACTTCAAAATATTGATTGACTATCTGAATTTAAAGTAGTCTTAGGTTATTAAAGATTAATTTAAATCTTATAAAGTTTAAATCTGGGTATAAATTCTTTTGATATTTGATTCTAGATATTTTTTTATTTGATTGAAGACTTCATTTGATTACTGTATTATTTTTTCCTAAAATTAAATATATTAATTAATTAAATCAGAAATGTTTGTAAATCTGATGCAATCATCATGATGGTCTTTATGTACTTTCAATAAGCATTTGTAACAATACTGGCTAGGGTTTTAACACTTAGAATTAAGACAAAAGCCTATTATAGCTTCATTTTCATGATCTTCATATTGGCACTTGAAGTTTTCCATTTCTAATATTTTAAATAATTAAATGATACGATAAATATTTAATTAAATATAAAATATAATTAAAGCATTCATAAAGATTACTTATTAATATATTGCTTAATCATAGAAATACCTTAATTATTATATTGAAATAAGGAACACTAAATTAAACAAGTTACAAAGGAAATTAATATATTTCCAATTAAAAAATCCAAAACTACTTTTACTCCTCTTTTATATTAAGTAGTTCTTTAATCTTTTTCTGCTATTGTAAAAAAAGGATTCGTCCTATCCTTAAAATTTTATTCTCTATCATTTCTATTTTAGAATAGACTACATATTGTATCAAAAGTATACTAAATATATTTAAATTGTTTTTTTCTAAATTTCAATCACAAAAAATAATAATATTTTTAATTTAGCGGGAATAATTATAAAAGCTTATTTGAGGAGCAATTTTGATTTATTCATTTCTATTATAAATAAACCCGCGGCAATCAAAACTAAACCAATTTTCATGTAATTAATTAATCCCAAATTTAGTAATTCTTCAAATTAATCAATTTTAAATATTTTATTATACTCCTTGTTCAAGTATGTAACATTCTTTACCTAAAATTCTTACTTCTAATGTTATTTAGGATTAAAAATTGTAGATTTTCCTGATTTTTTTGTTACTTTTATGAAATAGATTAATTTTCAACTCTATTTTTAGATCGTTCTTATAATCTATTAACTAAACATTGTAATTCATAAAGAATATGTTCTATCAATTATTAAAAATTTTTAGGTAAAAATTTAAGATCGATTTTCAAATATTAACCTTTTATTAATCTTTTATTAATTTTATCATATTGGTCGAAAAAATTCAAGATTCAATTTATTTAGTTTAATTGTATTGTCATCTAATCTAAGAGTTATTTCATTTATTTGCTGTTTTTATTATAATTCTGTAATTTAATTCTATTTCTATATTGAATTTTTTAATTGAATTTATAAACTTTATCAATTGTCAGCAAAAAGCTTCAGAGTAAGTTAGCTGGAGAATTAAATTTTTTTATTCTTTTCAAGGGCACTGAATTGACGAGGTTTTGGCTTTTGTGTATTCCACCAAAATTAACCAGAAATAGGAAAGAGAAGTTAAATTCCTAGTTTCTCCCAAATGAGGGTTCATTGATATCTAATTCCAACTAGAGATAAAGTTAGGAGGTGAGCAAAAGAAAAAGCTAGAGATTAAGTCATATTTTAAATATTTTTAAATTAATTTAATTATTTCATTTAAATTATTAACGAATAAAAAATTTATTAAGAATTTGTTTCGGAATTTAAGATTTCATT